TTAAAGCACAAATCTTGTGAACAGATGTTATGAAGTTGGAAGTAATTGCCCAGCTGAGATAAAGGTGTCTTTAACCTGATCTAATTAAAGATGCTCCTGCTCACTGCAGGGGAGGTGGACTAGATGACCTTGAAAGGTCCCTTCCAGCCCAACACATTCTAGGATTCTGTGATTCTATGATTTTATTCCTTTACTCTGCTCATCCTACAAATGCACATTTCCTTGTTTCCAGTCCTAAGTACTAAGTCTGATGCACGTGCTGACATAGAGAAAGCACATCGCCGTTTCCACTAATCTATATGTCTACGGAGCATGTGAAACAAAATAGGCTGTTGGAACCCAGTTCTGCTGATAAAATTGCTTTAGAGAGCGGGTCAAAATAGGTCACAGCTCTAAAAGCTCCCTGTGTGAAGGTAAGCTGCACGCCCAGCTTCTCCAGGCTCTTCTGAAAATACTACCTTGAATATTGGACAGATCCGGGTTAAAATGAAAATTAGAGATTACCATTGCTAGCAACAGCATCAGGAGAGCCACCAGGAAAGACAACGTCTCTTCTCCCATGGCTAATGGTAAATAAGTGATGTTCTGTCCAGGGGCTTGGCTTATCTGCATTACTATAGATGTCAGATAACGTGAAAGAGCTGCACAATTGTTCTGTAGAAGTGTTACCCACCGCTCCCCTACGCAGCACACTCGCTCTCACACAAGACATGGTTTCGCAGGATCAGATCCTTATTCAATTCAATGATTTTTCACACACAAAAAAAGATTTCTAATTTAGGAAGGAAAAGTTTTATTTAATTATCTTTTTTTTGTTGTTGCCTGACCAACTGCGTATCTTTCACTGGCTTTATCAAAGAAGCCACCAGTAGCAGAGCACATCTAATTTTAAGTGGGCTTTACTGGCAGACTTAAAACTGATCATGCATTTTAGTTTCAGTAACTTGCAATTTCTGTGCTCTTTGATAGCGCACTTTAAAGAAAAAGCCTTCTTTAATGACAAAGGCTTAAAAGAAATGACCTTTCTGAACAAAATATCAAAGCTTAGAAAAGATAGTTCCTTGGAAAAAAAAGCCTGAATTAAAATGACCTTGTGTTCTGAAACTTTTTCGTACAGTATCTGATGTCTCACTTTTCCTTTGTACCCTCAGAACAAGACCAAGTATAATTTAGTAGTGTGTGGTGCCTCCAGTACATTTTGTGATTTGGGAAGGACTTGCAGTGCACTAAGATAATTAAAAAAAATTAAATCATATCGCATATATACTCTCTACCAAGAGCATTTGTCATCAGAATCAAAGCAGTGCCTGTTTTTCAGAAAATTCAATAAACCCCTGGAAGAAATTCTAGTGATGGCAAATATTTTCTTCTAGTCACAAGAACTATTTTTTTTTTCTGTGCAGCAAATTCATTTCTGAGTCTGAAACCACAGTCAGCAGAGATTTGGGCAAGTAACAGGAGTATCTGCTGTCACCAGTACAATCAAAGCACTGTTGCAGAAGAAAGCAGAGGGCTGGGAGCAGAAGGGAGGTTGTATCCCTTTTCTTCCAACTGCACCAGAAATGAGCATATTTGTTACGTGTAACGCAAGAACTGTGAGTGGCACTGAAATACAGCGTCACCTTGATCAGGGTCACCTCCCTCGATATCGGTCAAAAATGTTATGATGCCTTTTCCTCACAGGGTTTTATATAGAGGGAAAACAATCTTCTCTCACAGAGCAAAATCAGTAGAATTAAAGAATTAAAAAGCACAAATAAAGCTGCAGCCATACCCAAGCTGGTCCCACCTCAAATTTAGTTTCTTCTCAGGTTTACAAGCACCTTCGAAACGCCCCTCGTGTATTTGATGCTGGAGGGAGTTTCCCAGAGTTTTAAAATTCCCTGATTGACCAAGGTGCACCTTTCTCACGCTGCTTTTTGATCATCAATGACATCAGCAACCCAAATCCGTCAAAAATAAGGAAATTCAGGCCTGGATTCAACTATCTTCAAAAGGTCTCCGTGTTTCCTTACAGAGGTACCCCCATTACTACTTTCAGAAGTGACGTAACCGCCCAAATATCAAGCAAAACCACAAGCAAAACAGCAAAATCAATGCTGCCTCATTTCCTTCACGCATGACGAGAGATTTCACTGTCCCAGCGTCTGCCCTTTGGACCCAGGGCCATACCCAGCAGGTAACTCCCCGTGAGCACCCCATGGGTGCTTCTCCCCAGGAGCCCAACCATCCCTACCCTGCACCTCTCTGTGCATTTTACTGCCCACAATTACCTAAATGCATCCAAACAAATTCCTCCTCCTGCAGCTCACCCGCTGCCCCGGGCGATTTTTGGGCCCCCTGCCGCAGCACCTCCTCCCTTATCGGAGCCTGTACAAGCCCTTATCTATAATTAGAAGAATCACTTGTTGATTCAAGGAAGGTGGAAAACCTGCCCAGGCGGGGACCAGCCCGACAATGAGCACAGCATCCGGGAGAGCTGGGGCTGGAGCGGGACAAGGAGCTCCCTGCCAGGGGGTGGCTGGAGCCCAGCCTGCCAAAGCCTCTCCCCGTTGGTCTCCACGTCAGGAGGAGATAAGGACGCAGCAGCCGGGCGGAAGAGTGGCCAAGACCCTCCAAACCCTGCCCAGCCTCGCTGCTGCTGCCCGTGCCACAGCTGGGCTTAGGAGATGGGGATTTCCTGCCCCCTCCCAAGCACTCAGCGCATCGACCGGGCCGTGATACGGGTGCTGCCGGCAGGACGGTGCTTGGGGAAAACAAAAGCTATTCTTGTGTTGGGCGTATCTGAACTCATGGGTTACAAATGTCCTAAGGTACACCCTGACTCATGGATGGCCAAGAGGTAAGCGAGCCTTCCCCAGCCAGGAAGGGCGGGCTGTGAGGATGACTCCCTGTCCAGATCCTTCGGCTTCCCATCGCGGTTCAACCTCATCCTGGCAAACCCGCGGGAATCTGATAAATCCTGAGATTTACCAGGATCATCCAAGAGAGCCCACAGGCTCAAGGCCATATCGATTACGACTCTTTTTCATTAACGCCCCGTAACTCTGTCGGCAGAAAATGATGAAGGACTTTCCTGTGACCAGCACACCCAACTCCAGCAACAGATATAACCAGCAACAGTGGCTGCATTTGTTATCACAGTGTTTTCATTCTCACTCCAAGATTTTCCTTGACACACAGCATGAAAATATTTTGCCAGTGAACAAAGCCATACAAAACTCTCATAGGGACTGTGGCGACTGAGGTGAGTGAGATGCCCAAGCAGGAGAATAATGTCAAAACAAAATAGTACAAAATAATAGTATTTTAATATTATGTAAACTCATGGACATGAAACAATGTCAAAATATGTCAGAATATCTTGGACGATAATAATAATAGAAAATGGGAATTCCTTCATGTATAAAAGTGAAAAGAATGGTACTGGAATTAATAAAAATACTAGTAGAGGAAACTCCACTAGCTCGGTAAGCAAGCTCAGCACAGAGTCAAACACAGAGTTATCAGAAGTGTAAGTCTGTAATAAGATAATGATAAAAAAAATAATGGAAGTAAGATACAACTAAAAACATGCTGACATGAGCGATGGACGTGTTTTAATGAACTTCATCACATTTTATGTGCTAACAAACAGCCACTGATCTCTGCATTTGAATTTACAAGAGCCAAATCTTCAAACCTATTCAAAGCAGTCCATTTGGCAACCAAAGAAATCCAACAGCTCCAGCAGCTACCTGAAAACGAAGAGATTCTCATTAGTTATATCTTATTATTCTTACTATAAAAGCACAACAGGCTGAAGCCAGGGCTGGGTGGCAGGGGAGCAGCCACCGAGGAGTGACATCACATCTGCCGCCGTGCGCGTTACAGCAGCAAAAAGCAGCATTTCAGGGAGTGAGGGTCAGGTAAATGCTGACACAAAAACTAGGGTGAATGTAGTTTTGGAAAAAAGATCTGGTGAAGAAGAAGATTTCCCTGAAGAGAAGCAGCACAAAGCCACGACCAAGCCCGGTCAGGAGAGGAGCTGCCACGCGCCGTGCTGGGCTCCTTCCACTCCTGGCGTTTCGGTCATTTGTGGCCTGGCCTCATCTAAGGGGACGTGATTATTCAGCTTTTTAGACAGCTCTTTTCCTTACTGTGAAGACACTAATTCAGAATAAGGTTGAGACAAAACGCATCCCTTGGTAACGCTGCTGCTGCTGCTACTGGAGAGTGTCCAGAGGGTGCATTACAGCTTTACATGTATCTAACAAAGTTACCTGGACTGGACATATTACCAAGAATCTGTGGTATTTTCAGTATCCATTTAGCTTTAGCTAATTCTCATTAACAAATACCTTAGGATTAACATATTCAGGCAACTTGCACACTGCTAACATTTGTATGAATGTTTACGTATCTCACAAATTTTCACGCTACTTTTACAAGCACACATTGTTATTTGCAGAAACCCTCATGTGAGACAAGAAAGCATCATCAAACTCCATAAATATAAAGAAGCTGGAGTGGCTTTCCTAGGAAGTTTCCTTTTACTCACCTCTCCACGTGAATCACTTACTCTAAAGGCACAGCAAGGCTTTTTATTGCTGCAGCACTTGCCGTAATTTATATTGGAGGGTGTAAACGCCTGAAAAAAAAGCCCAGGCTCATGAAGATCCGGTACTTTGAAGATGTGATCTGTAATATTACGCGTTGCATCATTGTTTTCTATCTTAAAAGGAGGTGGCACCACCGCAGAGCTGCAGCTGTGCACCGAGCCACTGTCTCATCATGAACGTCGAGGCAAAGCCCAGACTTGCAATGCACCTGCAAGTTCTCTAATCTTGCTCTAATAGTACTGACTAAGCACTGGGAAAATTCTCAGACGCATGTTTACTGAAAATAAGGATCTTTCAAAACTGCAACGATATATGAGTGTTTTAATTAAGCCGTAAAACTTCAATAGCTGGGATCCCCAGGTGTGAAATGGTACAAATTGATCAAAGATAATCCCGTACCTTCTGGCATGGTGGATGTTCAGCTCTTCCTGGAGGATAGACACTCTTTTCTCCAGAATATTTACCTGTAAAATACATCCCATGTGAAAATGGGGCACAAAATTCTGATTATTAATTTTGCGCTCATTTCATAAACGTGCTTTTCTGGTCTATCTTGCCGAAATAAAATGCAGTAACACTTAAGCTGCATACTTGAATTAATACTTGATAGAAGATTGTTAGCGCAGCTTCCCTGGACCTGCTCCAGCTGCGAAGAGAGTCAAACCAGTTTTTAAACTCAGCTGGTGGTACCATATGGGTTTGCAAGGGTTTGGGAGCTCTGGTTCCTCTCGTGACTTCCATACGATGCCTGTGCTCTGATCCCTGCGCTTTTGCTCTTGTGATGAAGGCACTCACCTGTCCTTCCAGCGTATGAAAATTAATGTTTATTAATACCCTGTGGTCACTCTTGGACTCACCGAGAGCAGACAGCCGGGCAGCGTCCTTTATATTTAGCAACGCTTTTAGAAAACTTTGCCCGAGCCTCAAGTATTTTCTTTTTTTTTATCGTTTATTTTTATCACTGCTCGGTGCTTTTACCCAGCCTATCCTCTTCATCCCCCTCCAACAATAAATAATCCTGACAGGTGCAGAGGTTCCCCTGCCCTTCTTGTCTGATGTTTTCAAAGAGGAATTTCAACAATTTTCAAAGGCAAGGACACCTGTGCTTCAGC